CAGTGTATATTGACAAAATAAAAATTTAACAAAAAATAAATAAATAAATAAATAAATAAATTTTTAAAAAGTTACCTTTTCCTCAAAAGGACGTTAATGGAACTTAGCAGAATTTGGACAAGATTTGAGATTAGATAATATTGTACCAATCTTAATTTCCTGATCATTATGTTGTGATTATGAAAGAACATTGCTGTGTTTAGGAATTACATACTGTAATATTTAGTGGTAAAATATTTTGCATCATGTGTGCAACTTAATCTCAAAGGATTTAGGAAAACAATAATGTATTGGCATGTGTATATATATATATAAATACATACATATGGAGAGAGATTAAGCCAGATGTGGTAAAAGGTTAACAATTGTTCAATCTGGGTAACAGGTGTATAAAAATTCTTTGTACTATTTTTGCACCTTTTCTCTTTCTGAAATTATTTCAAAATAATAGTTAAAAAAATTTTTTTAGTCTCTTCAGAAAATCCCATCAGATAAAGTCTAGTCACCTATGTTAATGGCCCACTTGAAAATATATCATTGCCTTGGCTTTCCCTCCTTAAACTCTTTTTCTCCCCCTATTCCACCCTCCTGATCTTGGGGTTAGAATGGATTTCTTATAAGACTGGAGAAACAACCACCTATTTATGTTACCTGAGAAAGCCCTGATATTCCTTTCATTGGAACGATTGATGCACTAGTGGGAAAGGCACTGACATCTTTAAAAGCTTAATGGTAGCTGTTAGAAATAAATTCCAAAATGGCAAAGGACAGACATTACATCAGGACATAACTGCTGTAATGGGAAGCAAGTCTGGAATGCAGCCAAGGTGTCTTGACCCGCAGGGATCTATGGTGATGGCTAATAGATCATGATGTTCTGAAGGGAAAGATGGGATGTGGTGTCTCTTGATCTTTTTTTTTTTTTAGGAAATCAACAGACAGTGAGCAGAAACGCTGATGTCAGTCTCCACAATGGAAATCATGGTCCCTCACCAATTTCCTGATTTAAGTCACTTCTGCGACTTAGAGCCCAATGACTGAAGAAGCTGTATCAACTTGAGGAAGGATTCTTCAATGCCACAAAAATATACAGTGAACATTCTCTTGCTCCTTTCTCCAAGAGAACCAAGGCCATCAACCAGGGTAAATGTGCATTCAGAAAAAGGAATACTCAAGACTTTGATGACCACTGTCAGGATCTAAGCTGACACCGGTATGAGCAGACTGAAATGCCACCATGGTCTTTCAGTTAAAAATGGGGTTCATAGAGGAAAAAGGGTGAATGCAGGTTTGCCTCAAACTAATCTAACAGGGACCCACTTTTTAGAGTTTCCCACCCCACCCCTAGTCCTTAAGTCAGATAAATATAAACTCAGTAGTTGGCAGAGACTTACTTTAACCTGTGATGTAAGAGCCTTTATGGTAGAAAGGGCCATCTGAAAGCCCCAGAATCTACTTTACCTGGCTAAAATAGCAAGTCAAAAGCAATTCATACAAAGAATTACAGACATTAATACCACTTTGAAAGGTCTGAAGGATATAGGAGTTGGGGGGAGGGCAGTTCTCAATCCCTACTCACTTCACTTCTCTGGGCCCTGCAAAGAGTAGATGGAGAAAGTTCTGGATATGAACAGTGGTGTTGGTTGCACAATGTGAATGTACTTACTGCCACTAAACTGTACTTAAAAATGGTAAATTTTATGGTATGTATATTTAACAATTGAAAAAAATACTCTAGAGTATGGAGTTATGACACCAAGATCAAAGATTCAGATCCCCTTACCCGTCGTCAGCCAAAAAAGAAAATACTAGATGGATCGTAGACTACGACAATAGCAGAAAACAGTGGACTACCTCAACTGCAGCTGCTATTTTGGAAGCAGAATTTTTTTAAATGACAACTTTATTGAGATATAATTGACATACAATAAAGTTCATACTTTAAAAGTATACAATTCAGTGTTTTTCTAAAAAGATTCACAAAATTGTACACTGATCACTACTACCTATTTCCAAAACATTTTCACCACCCTAAAAACAAGGCTGGCCAGTTAGCTCACTCGGTTAGAGCATGGTGCTGGTAACACGATGGTCGTTGGATCCCCTTACTAGTCAGCTGCCAAGAAAAACAAAAAACACAAAAAACAAGTTAAAACCCTATAACCACTAGCAGTCACTCTCCATCCTTCCCTCATTCAGCCCCTGGCAGCCACTCATCTACATTCTGTCTTAACACATGAGCCTGTTCTGGGCATGTCATATAAATGAAATCATACCAATAGGTGGCCTCTTGTGCTGGCCTTCTTTCATAACGTATTCTAAGTTTATCCATGTTGTAGCACGTACTCTCATTTTTAAAGATGAGTAATTTTCCATTGTATGGATATACCATTCATTTATCCATTTATCAGTTGATGGACATTTGGGTTGTTTCCACTTTTTGGCTATTATGAATAATGCTGCTATGAACATTCATGTACCAGCTTTAGTGTGAACATGTTTCCAATTCTTGTGGGTACAAACCTAGGAGGGGAATTGCTATCATACGGTAACTCTATGTTTAACCATTTGAAGAACTTTTCCAAAGTGGCTGCACCATTTTACATTCCCACCAGCAGTTTTTATTTTCTGTCTTTTTGATAGTAGTCATCCTAGTGAACATGAAGTGGTAACTCATTTTGGTTTTGATTTGAATAGATGCAGTATCTGGAACTCGGTATGTGACTACTAACTTGGCCAATGTATCCTTCTCAAAAGGAGAATGAAAAGCAGTTCGATTTAACTTGACATATAAGATAGGATTATTATTCCTTGAATGTACTAGGATTATATATTCCTCATCATTGTCATGTGACTCAACTATGCATCCTGTGGGAAGAGTCCATGTCTTGTTGACTTCCGGCTCAACCATGTGACATGCTCTAAACCAACAAGATATGAGATGTAGACAGCTGGCTGGTTGGCTCAGTTGGTTAGGGCAGTGTTACAACACCATGCGCAAAGGGTTCAGATCGCCATACCAGCCAGCCACCAAAAAAAATATATATATATATATATATATGAAATGTGACATTTGCAACAATTGAGCAAAAGCTTATAACTGCATGTTTTCTCTGTCTCTCTCTCTCTCTTTCTCCTATAGTCTGTCACATCTCAGATAGGAGCTGCTCCTTCAGGCTCAGTCCCAGAATGATGAGACACATAGTCTACCTGTAGCCAAGCAAATCCAAGCCTGTTACACAGTAGATACTTGGTGTAAACTAAAACTTTTAAGAATATTTTTAAGCACATAGCAAAAAAAAATCTCAAAAGCTCACACTAAACAAAACTGTTAAGTGTACTGAATAAATCAATTTATACATCGACAATTTTCACTTTTCATTTTGTTCATTTTGTATTGTTTGAATTTTTTTTTTTTTTTCCTTTTTGTCTTTTTTCGTGACCGGCAACGGATCGCAACCNTGTAAGAGCCTTTATGGTAGAAAGGGCCATCTGAAAGCCCCAGAATCTACTTTACCTGGCTCAAATAGCAAGTCAAAAGCAATTCATACAAAGAATTACAGACATTAATACCACTTTGAAAGGTCTGAAGGATATAGGAGTTGGGGGGGAGGGCAGTTCTCAATCCCTACTCACTTCACTTCTCTGGGCCCTGCAAAGAGTAGATGGAGAAAGTTCTGGAGACGAACAGTGGTGTTGGTTGCACAATGTGAATGTACTTACTGCCACTAAATTGTACTTAAAAATGGTAAATTTTATGGTATGTATATTTAACAAGTGAAAAAAATACTCTAGAGTATGGAGTTATGACACCAAGATCAAAGATTCAGATCCCCTTACCAGTCGTCAGCCAAAAAAGAAAATACTAGATGGATCGTAGACTATGACAATAGCAGAAAACAGTGGACTACCTCAACTGCAGCTGCTATTTTGGAAGCAGAATTTTTTTAAATGACAACTTTATTGAGATATAATTGACATACAATAAAGTTCATACTTTAAAAGTATACAATTCAGTGTTTTTCTAAAAAGATTCACAAAATTGTACACTGATCACTACTACCTATTTCCAAAACATTTTCACCACCCTAAAAACAAGGCTGGCCAGTTAGCTCACTCGGTTAGAGCATGGTGCTGGTAACACGATGGTCTTTGGATCCCCTTACTAGTCAGCTGCCAAGAAAAACAAAAAACACAAAACAAGTTAAAACCCTATAACCACTAGCAGTCACTCTCCATCCTACTTACTTTAACCTGTGATGTAAGAGCCTTTATGGTAGAAAGGGCCATCTGAAAGCCCCAGAATCTACTTTACCTGGCTAAAATAGCAAGTCAAAAGCAATTCATACAAAGAATTACAGACATTAATACCACTTTGAAAGGTCTGAAGGATATAGGAGTTGGGGGGAGGGCAGTTCTCAATCCCTACTCACTTCACTTCTCTGGGCCCTGCAAAGAGTAGATGGAGAAAGTTCTGGATATGAACAGTGGTGTTGGTTGCACAATGTGAATGTACTTACTGCCACTAAACTGTACTTAAAAATGGTAAATTTTATGGTATGTATATTTAACAATTGAAAAAAATACTCTAGAGTATGGAGTTATGACACCAAGATCAAAGATTCAGATCCCCTTACCCGTCGTCAGCCAAAAAAGAAAATACTAGATGGATCGTAGACTACGACAATAGCAGAAAACAGTGGACTACCTCAACTGCAGCTGCTATTTTGGAAGCAGAATTTTTTTTTAATGACAACTTTATTGAGATATAATTGACATACAATAAAGTTCATACTTTAAAAGTATACAATTCAGTGTTTTTCTAAAAAGATTCACAAAATTGTACACTGATCACTACTACCTATTTCCAAAACATTTTCACCACCCTAAAAAAAAGACTCACCAGTTAGCTCACTCGGTTAGAGCATGGTGCTGGTAACACGATGGTCTTTGGATCCCCTTACTAGTCAGCTGCCAAGAAAAACAAAAAACACAAAACAAGTTAAAACCCTATAACCACTAGCAGTCACTCTCCATCCTTCCCTCATTCAGCCCCTGGCAGCCACTCATCTACATTCTGTCTTAACACATGAGCCTGTTCTGGGCATGTCATATAAATGAAATCATACCAATAGGTGGCCTCTTGTGCTGGCCTTCTTTCATAACGTATTCTAAGTTTATCCATGTTGTAGCACGTACTCTCATTTTTAAAGATGAGTAATTTTCCATTGTATGGATATACCATTCATTTATCCATTTATCAGTTGATGGACATTTGGGTTGTTTCCACTTTTTGGCTATTATGAATAATGCTGCTATGAACATTCATGTACCAGCTTTAGTGTGAACATGTTTCCAATTCTTGTGGGTACAAACCTAGGAGGGGAATTGCTATCGTATGGTAACTCTATGTTTAACCATTTGAAGAACTTTTCCAAAGTGGCTGCACCATTTTACATTCCCGCCAGCAGTTTTTATTTTGTCTTTTTGATAGTAGTCATCCTAGTGAACATGAAGTGGTATCTCATTTTGGTTTTGATTTGAATAGATGCAGTATCTGGAACTCGGTATGTGACTACTAACTTGGCCAATGTATCCTTCTCAAAAGGAGAATGAAAAGGAGTTCGATTTAACTTGACATATAAGATTATTATTCCTTGAATGTACTAGGATTATATATTCCTCATCATTGTCATGTGACTCAACTATGCATCCTGTGGGAAGAGTCCATGTCCTTTTCTTGTTGACTTCGGGCTCAACCATGTGACATGCTCTAAACCAACAAGATATGAGATGTAGACAGCTGGCTGGTTGGCTCAGTTGGTTAGGGCAGTGTTACAACACCATGCGCAAAGGGTTCAGATCGCTGTACCAGCCAGCCACAAAAAAAATATATATATATATATATAATGTGACATTTGCAACAATTGAGCAAAAGCTTATAACTGTATGTTTTCTCTGTCTCTCTCTCTTTCTCCTATACTCTGTCACATCTCAGATAGGGGCTGCTCCTTCAGGCTCAGTCCCAGAATGATGAGACACATAGTCTACCTGTAGCCAAGCAAATCCAAGCCTGTTACACAGTAGATACTTGGTGTAAACTAAAACTTTTAAGAATATTTTTAAGCACATAGCAAAAAAAAAATCTCAAAAGCTCACACTAAACAAAACTGTTAAGTGTACTGAATAAATCAATTTATACATTGACAATTTTCACTTTTCATTTTGTTCATTTTGTATTGTTTGAATTTTTTAATGAACATGTATTACTGCAATTTCTTCGTTTTATTTTTATTTTTTTAATTACCCATGCTGGTCTCCACTTAACATAAATAGCTGAGATTAAGTTATAATGAATCTGCATTTCAGGAAAAAGAAAGAAAGCATTTTGGACATATGTGATTACATTTATCTATCTCACTGAAAATACATGCTTAAGATTGTAGGGTAAAAAGCAATCAGTTCTTAGCAACTTCAAAAAAAACCTTTAAGTATATGAATAATAGCTTCATAATAAATTAACTATTCTCAGCCGGCCCGGTGGCGCACTGCTATAGTGCGCCGCTTGGGAGCGCGGTGGTGCTCCTGCCGAGGGTTCGGATCCCACATACAGACTGGTTCCCGCTCACTGGCTGAGCGAGGTGCGGGTGCGACACTGAGGGTTGCGATCCCATTGCCGGTCCTGGTCTGGTACGGGCGCGACACTGAGGGTTGCGATCCGTTGCCGGACACGAAAAAAGACAAAAAGGAAAAATAAAATAAAATAAAATAAAATAAATTAACTATTCTCTTACCATCATGATTAATGCAAATCTGCTTAGTGGGTTAAAGAAACAGATGTGTCATACTTGCCACCCTATATAACACCATCTACCCTCTCAAAAACCTCAGTTTGATCTGAGCCACCCTAATTCTCAACTCCTCCTGCCTGGGATGAGAAATGGTTAGGGTTGAAAGACTACTGAAATATATCAAACCAGGCAATTTATAGGCTAATTGAGGGGCTTTCTGCCTGAAGTGGTTTAACTCGATTCGCTTATCAACGAATACCACCTTTCTTCTCTTCTGATTCTTGTGCCAATTTCAACTTTTCTTTTAATTCCTTCTGATTTCTAGAATACTGCTCATATATTGGTTGATAAATATATATTCCTCCAGCAATTCCAACGATGCTAGCAAAAAGCAGTTGTGGAAGAGTCAATCTCCCAAACATGGTTGCAACAAACTCGGAACAAAACAAAGGTGGCCACTCCACATCCAGGAAGTCTCTTCAGATCTGTGCACAAAAAAAAAGGGAAGCAAAGCAGCAACTTATTACAATATCCTTTTTAAAGATTTTATGTCACTATTTTGCTCCGGAGTGAACAATCCTTTTGTAATAATATGTTACTAGCTAAAATACGAATATAAATATTCAGGGAGTATGGGAAATGAAGGTTAGGCGATGGTGTAAGGCAAAGCTAAATCCACTGCTATTACAGAATGTTCTCAATGATTTTAAATGGCTAATTTTAAAAATGGCGAAAGCGGGGAGGGGAAGGCACATTCTTTTTGCTTTAAAGTCATACCATAAAATTACTAAAAGAAACAGCCAAAAACAGTTCAAAGGGATTGCCTCTGAGGGATCTGATCTGGAAGCAGGAGAAAGGTAGGCAGAGAATTGGTACTTTTCATTAGTCCTTCTGTACTATTCATGTCTCTTTTTTCTTTTTTCTTTTAGCAATATGTATGATAAAAATAACAATTTCTTAAAACAACCTAAAAGATTTTATGAGTTCCCTCTGATAGTTTAGAAAATACAAGTAGACATCATTTGCCATCCATTTTGGACAAAAATATAAAGGAAATTTGGTTGGTTTTACTTTCAACATTTGAAGAGTTAAGAACCTAGTACTTCCCAGAAAGTAATATTCCTTGCCAACACCTTAGTCTCCGGAAAAACTAGGTAGATGTTTGTAAATGAGGAAAGAACACTGAAGGATTTACACGTTTTCTTAATTAGGTGTAACAATAGGTCCTCCTAAACCAGCCCCGGAGATCACAGAAATCCCTGGTGGCAGATATGGTACTAAAAAATAGCTTGCCCTTAATACCCCCGGAATGTAGTTTAAACCAATCTCAGAAAGAAAATCCCGTTTTCTCCTGGACTCTACGGTTGACTAGGTAAATGACAGCTTCACCGACCTTGCTTTGGTTCGATGACTAAGTGTCTTTTTAAAAAAATAGGAACCATTTGAGCCTCAGTTTCTGTATTTGTACGACAGGCTAGATCGTCCCTACCCTGCCAACCTCGTTCAACAAAATTTTTGTGAGATCACCCAAAACGTAAAATGTTACACAAATATTTACGTTTTTAATTATCATTATCAACACCACTCAGGCACCTCCGACCGTTCTCCTACCGTTCTGCGCCAGCCCCAAGTCGCTAACTCCACCTCGCGTCTGCCCCCGCAGAGGTGAGATCAGCCTCCTTCAGGCAGAATTTCCGGGCCCCAGAACACAGAGAACACAAAGCCAAAGGCGGGCAGCAATCCCGGCAAGAAATACCGAGGGGAAAGCGCAGGCGAGCCCGCTCAAAGCGCAGTGGCTCTGACCAAATCAGCAGCACGCGCCTGCAGACACCACCTCGCGAGATTGGCTCGAAGAAGTTGCCCTTTCCCAGCTACCACCGCGCTTGCGAGCGACGGCTGCTCGCAAAGGCCAAACATAGTGGGCGGAAGAGCACCGCGCGTTACTGCTGCCTTTTTCTGTCCCGGGAAAGCGGCGGGGGGTTTTAAGCGGGTATCCCAGCAAGTGCGGGATGGAGGGGGAGCGCGGCGGTGGCACCCTTGCTTTCCGCGGTCTCCAGAACCGCTCCCGTGAGAAGATGAAGCTGCGGAAGAGAAAGTCTGTCTTGTACCTCAGCGCCCAGGAGAAGAGCACTGGGTGCCGCGGAAGTGAGTTGAGGGAGCGCTGTCCGGAGAGCTGCTTCTGCATCTAAGGGGAGAAGCCTGTGTTTTGCTACCAGCCAGTGGTTGCCACTTGAGCTCTATGTTGCCAGATCTTAAACAGTTTGAAAATGCTAGAAATATATATTTTAATATAAAATCTGGGTTTTTTTAATGTTGGCAACTAAATTCAAATTTTAAAAAATACTTTGTATTCAGCCTACAGGCGCTGCATTTGTGATTAAGAGCAGGACTTTGGAGTGAGCAGACAGACCTAGGTTTGAATCATGTTTAGTCATTTACAACTTTTTTACTTTGGACAGGGCAATTTGGGGGCTAGGGGTTCGTGGTTTGGCTTGTTCTGGGTTCCGAGCCCTTGCCCTTGGTGTTATGTCACCGCGCTCTAACTAACTGAGCTGCCTGGCCAGCCCTGATTTCAAAGCCTCAGTTTTCTCATGTAAAAAATGGGGTAATAATACCTACCCCCTAATATTGTTTTCGGGATTAAATAAGAGGCATGTTAATGAATTAACACAGTGCTTGGCATATAGTAAGCATCAATAAGAGATATTTAAAAATGTACAGAGGACCATTTTATAAACCACTGTTTGGCACATATAGAGAGAGTTGCGTCCTAATTAGTAATTTTTTTTTTTCCTTTTTGTCTTTTTTACTGACGGGTAACGGGATCGCAACCCTCAGTGTCGCACCCGTACCGGGGACCGGCAACGGGATCGCAACCCTCGGTGTTGCGCCCTCACGGGAACCGGTCTCCACATGGGATCCGAACCTTCAGCGGCAGCGCTGCGCTCCCAAGCGGCGCACTCTCCAGTGCGCCACCAGGCCGGCCCTAATTAGTAATTTGATAGCTGATTTCTTTCATCAGATACACATGTAGTGTAACATAATTAGCCTAAGGCCTTAGGTAACCCAGTTCCTTTTTCTATATTTATCTTAATATTCTCTTTATACAATAAATTGCAAGAAAAGTTGGTTAAATCAAAGAAGTGGTGATCACCCACTGGTGAGGTTCTGGCTCTTGTATAACTGTCAGCTCAGATTGGCTTTGAGAATGGTGTGGAGGGGCCAGAGTTCACTACTGTACCTTAACAGAGCCTGAGCAAAAAGCCAACCAGAGCAGCATATTTTAAGTTCTGCAAATGGAACTGCCTGACTTTTGTGTCACAGTTATCTGTTTTGTTTTGCTTTTCAGTTCTCGGAGAAAACATTTATCTGGTCTTGTTTATCATAGCTTTACGAATATTTAACTGCTTTTTAATCCAGACAAGTTTTGTTCCAGATGAATACTGGCAATCTCTTGAAGTTGCACATCACATGGTTTTCAAATATCCTTTGTAGTTTCTTTTCCAAACCATGAATGTGTATTCATCCTAGGAATTGTGTTCAGTATCTCTAACATATTTTCAATCAAGCTTTCCATATTTTCTCCAAGTAATTGGAACTCATCAAAGTATGCCATTATTTTATTAATATTTCTTATATATCATTCTTTGATATTAATATACTTGACATAGGCTTTAGCATATATTCCCACAGTGCTTGATACTTGGAAGGTACAGATGAAGTAAAAAACATATTCCTGCCTTGAAGAAGTTAAGAGTTTAGTTGGCCAAATGAATTTTTAATCCAAATACCCAGTGTAAAATGCTGTGTTTTAAAACTCTGTCAAAAAATAAAATATTCTTTTATATATGGATATGAAAATAGGTTTTGTTTCAATACTATTTGACATTTAGTCCTTAATATTATTAATTATGGTTATTTGACCTGGGAATGGACAGAAAGATTGAGGGGTTACACTTACCCCTTAATCTTTGCAAGCATGTACAAGATTCTGCACCTTTTGGAGAAAGATAGTGTCCAACTGCTGGTAAGTTTAAATAAAACTAACCAAAATAGTTGTTAAAAGTAGATTTGTTCTATTCTTTTTCAAAGGTTAATGTATATTACCTAAATGATATTATCGGTACCATGAAGTTTGTTTTTAAAAGACTATTATTGTTGCTAGAGTCCAGCCACATCTGGGAAGCTCATGGTACCAAAGACATATTGTGATGTGTAACTTTTCAATATTTGCTAAAACCCAAAACTGAGCATGAAAATGTCCTGCTCTGAGGAATTCAGTTAGGATATGCAGATTTTCAAAATGACTTCAATATTTTAATTATTTGGACTTTAGAAGTATAGTTCTTTCATAAAAGAATCACTTGAGAGCAGTGTTGTTTTGATTTTTTAACTTGTAAGTGGAAGACCATGTTATATGAATTTAGGACTAAATACATATAAACTCATTCAGGATTTAGTGCTGAAATTAAAACTTAGAAAAAATTAATTTGACAGAATTGCAATGATATGCATAATCATTGTGCTTTGTAGTAATTGAGCATCAATAGTGAGTAGGATTTTAATTCCTAGATCATGAATTGCTAGGTCAGTTGCTGGGAGAGGGTACAAAGGAGGACCTGATGGTACACAGGTTTCTCTAGCCTCATTCTCAAGATCTTTTAAGCAGGGTCAAGTTGTACTCAGAAGTTTGGCTTTCCTATTTTCCATTAGGGAGGGCTAATGGCCCAGTATTCCAAAGGAATTCAAATCCTGAGGTATTTTTTGGAGCCTAGAAAGACACTGAGGTTCTGAGGTATTTGTTTTAAGGCAGGATTGTACTGTCCTCTTTGCAATGATATTTGATTCCCCATTGTAGAGAAATGAGGATCAGACCAGTGATCTTCACATGGGAAGATCATTGGAGAATTTAGAAGGAGAGCAGTAGCAGAGTCTCTCCCATTGACACATGTGGAATTTAGGAGCTATAAACTTACTTATCTCCTCTCAGAGTTACCCACTAGCTTCTAGATTACTCATGGTATCCATAAAGTCTGGAATCATAGGCAAATATCACATAATGTCATCAATGATATCTTATATCCCAGTAAACAGGTTAAATTATGAATGAAGTGGACTTCAGGATAAAATCTTCTATCCCTCCGAGGCTTGTCCACTGCCCTCAACCTGTAGCTGACCCACCAGACCACTTCGTGATTTAAAGGAAACCTCCCGTGACTGCCTTATCCCCTCCCCTAACCCTTCCCCTAACCCCTCCCAAACCCTGTGTCCTATATGGAACTTGATCAGGTAGAGATTTATTAGGATGCAATCAGCCATTCATACTCTTATATTGATTTTTTTTTCATATTTTAACATAGATAATATATTTTTGAAGTTAGAATGGAACAGAGAAGTGAAGTAAACAGACCAAGGTCACAGCATGTTAAAAGCAGAGCTAGAGCTAAATCCTAAGTCTCCTTGCTCACAGCCTAGTGCTCTTTCCAGATAGCTTCTCTTTAAACTGCATAAAGTATGTGCACAGAAGTAGAGATGGCTTAGAGCCGCACTGTCCAACATGGTAGCCACTAGCCATGATCTGTGGCTAGTCCAAATGAGGAAGTGCTAATAAGTGTAAAATATGTACTGGATGTCAAAGGCCTAGTGCAAAAAGGAATGTAAAATCTATAAGTTATATATTGATTAAGTGTTGATATGATAATATCTTAGATATATTGCGTTGTACAAAATGAAATGTTTTTGGTTTTGTTTTGCTTTTTAATTTGGCTGTTGGCATGTTTTTGATTTTACCCTGGCATGTTCCTTCTCATCTTTATGCCAATCTACTACTTTTTATTGTCCAGAAGTTATATGCAACTATTATTTCATTCTAATTGGGTTCCTACTACAATCTGGAAAATTATGGTATCTTAAAAGTCTGGAGAGACTGCTAATGACTAGGAGTTCAGAACTCCACTTATTTTTGTGTTGAGCTAAAATCTTTTTAAATTTGTGATCTCTACATGGCATCCCTTCAAAAGTTTTTTATTTCGGCTAGACATCTCCAGTTCTTAAGCTCATAATTACAGTGTCCTTTGGACTCCTGGTAATTTATTAATATCCATCTTAAAATGTGGATCTCCAAACTGAACATGATACTGATGGCTACGGTAACTAGTTCAGAATCGGGTGAGACCATTAACTTCATAAAAACTATATATCTCTCAGTGCAAAAGGATTTTTTTTTAAGCTTTTTAGTAGCTACCTCACACCATTGGCCCACATTAAATTTGTAGCCAAATTGACTTTTCATATGAACTGCTTTCAGGGGGCCTGGGAAGTGAGAATGAAGCTTATAGTTCCCTATGCAGAGTAAACAGAAGGTATGTACATAGGTGCCTTTTACTGTATTTTACAGGGCACAGTTTAAGTGGAATTAACAAGTACAGTGTACCTTTAACTCTAAGACCTAAACATTGACAAAGAAAAAGAACATAAAGCTAAAGTGTTAGAAGCCACTGACAATTGGAAGTAAAGCAGGTCTAATTATAGTGTAAAGTTAATAAAGTTTGAGTCAACAGAAATACAAATTCATGTAAATTTTTAGAAACACATCTTTTGAATAAAATAAGATTAAATTGACCTCCACCAGCAAGTTTTGTTAGTGATAACTATGACACATTTTTTAAAAACTCTTAGAGATACTAATGCACAGCATTAGCATTTCCTCCTGTAATTCAGTCGTAATAAATTTACTGTTTCTTTTAATTTTACTCTTAAGTTTACTTTTAGTGTCATCTGAATACGATGTTTCTATAATTGTAGACTACTTGTGCTTTAAAAAGAAAAGTAATTTGTGTTATTTATCTATATTGCAGAATGGGGAAGCAGTGTAACTAAGTAATTAAGAGCATGAGATTTGGTGTCAGATAGACCTGAGTTTGAATCCTGACTTCCACACTAACTAGCTGTGCAGCCTTGGGAAAATTACTTAACCTCTCTGTGCTTCAGTTTCCTCATCTGTAGAACAGTACCTGCCTCAGAAGGTTGTTAGGACTGAATGAACAGATATATATAAAGTACTACGTGTGATATCTAGTACACAGTACTATAAATGTAAATGTTTGATTGATGAAGAAAAAAACCCTACTGTATGCTAATGAAAAGAAATATAATTCTAAAATAGCATCTTAATACTACGAAATAGTTTGCTGGTTATTTAAATTAATATTAGTAGCGCTGATATACAGTAGTGTTGTTATATATCTATTTCTCTCTTTCTATATATACATATATATGAGGGTACTAAAAAGTTCATGAAAAGATAAGTATTATCTTTTAATTCTATTTTTCCATGAACTTTTTTTTTTTTTTAAAAGATGACCGGTAAGGGGATCTTAACCCCTGACCTGGTGTTGTCAGCACCACGCTCAGCCAGTGAGCAAACCGGCCATCCCTATATAGGATCCGAACCCGTGGCCTTGGTGCCATCAGCACCGCACTCTCCCGAGTGAGCCACGGGCCGGCCCTCCATGAACTTTTGAAGTGCCCTTGTATATAACAGAGAATGATAAAACTACCTTGGGTATTTCCATGAGATGAATGTAATTTTTGTAGAAACACAGATGTATTTTTGCAGAAGAATAGAATATGTTATGTATATTTTTATACTAAGATTAGCTTTCAGTTGGCAGTTGGATCAGCTTGTTGATTTTTATGATGACTCATTGTGAACCAACAGATGTTTTTAACATCTTCTTCTTTTTAACTAATGAAGATTTGGATTCCTAGACTTGCTCAAGCACTTCTGTCTGCTATAGCAGACATGAGGCTTTACTCATTAATGAAGCAACTAGAAAATCAGGAAGTGGCAAGATGGGTGGTAAGTCCTAAACACTTTTTATTTAATTAAAAAAATTTCTTTTTTGGCGGCTGGCCAATATGGGGATCTAAACCCTTGACCTAAACGCTTGAGAAACTATTTGCCAGTTATTTCATTCCTGTGGGCGTGAAGCACATGGAAAAACACACTCCCTAAACAGTTTTAGATGATAATTAATACAACTTTACAGAGGCACTTCCATATTTAATAACAGTAAAACGCAAGTGGCACCTGCCATCTTTCTCCTTCTTATTGAGTCCTGGGCAGTGGAAGCTACTGATGTTCTCAAACCCTAGGAGAGGCTAGACCCCAGGAGACAGCCTTTGGAAGCCCTTTCACTCCTCAAAACTATCAGGATCCTTGCCTCACTTTCCATAGAATTCAGTAGGGGTACTCCTAAATCACTCTACCTCACAAAGAACCTCAGCTGTTTACAACCCTTGTTCACTATTACTCCAACTACCTGAGGCTCAGCCTGAGAAATCCCTTTGCACTGAAACACTCTCACCTCTGGCTGGAATATTTGAAATGGTAGGACTCATGTAACAGGGAATGTGGTGTAGAAGACTGTGTTTTGTCATTTGGCTTGTTTCAAGGTGGGAAGATAGATTCTTGACATCTCCCATTCAAATCTTTTTTTTTTTTTTTTGTCTTTTTCGTGACTGATGAAGGGATCGCAACCCTTGGCTTGGTGTCGCCCGCACCACGCTCAGCCAATGAGCGAACCGGCCATCCCTATATAGGATCCAAACCCGCGGCGGGAGCGCCGCTGCGCACCCAAGCACTGCACTCTCCCGAGTGCACCATGGGGCCAGCCCTCCCATTCAAATCTTGAATGGATTTTCCCATTTAAACATATCCTGAAGAAGGACTGGATTCTCTAGAACTGTTCTTTTTTCACTTGGCTCTTTCCAAAATTAAATAAGCTTATATGAGCCAGCTTAGAAATCTTACTACCTTTTTAATATTGTTTATATTGGAAAATACATTCCAAATTCCACACAAACAATTTACCAGTGGACTTCTGGAATATAATTTATTAATAAATTGGAGAAAGGACATATTTCTGTAAGGTAGTATGTTCTTTTGCATTAAAAAGAAAGATTGGTTTAGCAATGAGTTTTTGCTAATTGATTCAGGAATAAAGTCAGCCTCTTTATTTTGTACTTATAATTTATGTACATTGCTGAAGGCTCAACATAAAATGGTAGGCAAAGGTCATGAAGCCTTTGAAATCCTTCTTCCAAAGTAGCAGCACTAGGTTCTTCTTCTAGTTTAAGAAAAACTTTTAACTTCATGAAAATTGAGAACACTTTTTAAAGGCTCTACGAGTATTTGAAGAGATAGGAAGCTAGTACCACGTTTAATACCATTGCCTCAACTAATAAGTTTCTTTGTAGAAACTAATAAGATATTTGTTTTGTAGACTTAATGATGCTTCTGTCTACATGTTCTTACAAAAAATGGTTTATTAATTTAGTCAGTTACAAATTAAAATTTAGTAATGCTTCTTGACATTTTTTTTCTCTCTCCTGTTTTGTCTTAATTTTTTATTAAGAAATAGGGTGACATTCCAAACCAAGGTCAATAAAAAACAGTCAAAATACTTAGGTCAATACTACAAGACAGTTTGAGGAATACTGATGGGGAAAATCTAATTATGAATTTCAATCCTCTATAAACTGTACCATCAATGACTCTGTATATATTTCATCAATTGGAAGTGGGATTTAAATCAAATGCAATGCCATAAAAATGCACCTGAAAGTATAAACTTCTTAACATTAACAAATATAGATTTGGTGTTATCATAGACCTAGGTTGGAGATAACTTCTTAAAAACAATGCTTGGCACTGTCTGGTTAGCCAGTTGGTTAGATCAAGGGTTCAGATCCCCGTACTGGCCAGCCAAAAAAAAAAAATGTTTGGGCATGCCTACTTTTAACATCATTTACCTTTTGATGTGGTTTTGTGTAGGTGTGTGTGTTTGCAGCTGGCCAGTACCCTTGACTGGGATCCAAACCCTTGACCTTTGTGCTACAAGGGGGTGCTCTAACCAGCTGAACCAACCGGCTATGTGGTTTTTGCTATATTTAGATTTGCTTGTTATTTTCCATAGAAGATAATGCATACTAAGCTTTTCCATTTCCTACTTCATACATGTTTGCTCATAATTGTTCTTAGTTTTTTTGCCAGTTGTGTTCTTGGTTCACATGGTATTGCTGTACCAGAACCCTTACAAACACCATGGAAACTGTTCTCACCATAATTGCTCTTTTCTACTATCCTTTGGAAGGGTCAAAGTCTATGAACAGGTGAGATATATTACTGTTAATAATTATGTACAAAACCTCTAAGGCATGCTTTTGAAAAATCTTAAATATCAATACATTGTAATGTTCAGTAGACCCCCTACTGTTCATGAGAGTTATGTGAACCACAAATTTTGAGTTGATATAGCAGGAAACAGTAACACTCTCAAACTGAATAATTAAGGTGAGTTTAATAAGGACTGTTTACAAAGGTGTAGACAATACATGGGAAAGCCAGTAAGGAGATACTATAGTACCCCAGGGTTAATCACAGCAGGAAGTCTCTATTATCTCTAGGCCCCAGGGAGCAAGGAGAGGAAATGGTTAATGGAATCCAAATAGAGCTGTAACTGTAAGAGAGGTCCCAACAGGAGACAGGCACAGCCAGCTTTTATCAGTAACATGGAGACAGTCAGGGAAATAAATAATCCTGACTCAATTCTTCTCCTGACTTCCAATTAGCCAAAACCAATTAGAAGCCAGAAACCAAGGCAGACCATTGATGTCGTCCATCTAGGTCAGCCTCCCTGCACACAGAACAAGTAAATGGTGAAGAAGAATAGATCTGGAAGGGCAAATAGAAAATATTTGGACTTGATTTGGCTTCATACAAACTGGAGAAACAAAATGCCAAGCAAAGGGAACAATGTGAGCAAAGGCACAGAGCTGTAAAAGGGCTTCAATGTATTCAGGGTAGGTTGTCCAGAGTAGCTAGAGTACTGTAGGATACATGGAAGAAGGGAAGAAATGAGGCTGGAATGGGACTTTGTACTTCTCCAAAATTTGGATTTTATTCTTTAGATAGGGAAACATTGAAAGATTTTGAGAAGGATGACATAATCAAATCTGATTTTCTTGTAGTAGCAGTATTTAGGATATACTGAAAGGAAGAAAGTCAGAATTTGAGAGTCTAGTTAAAATGCTAGTATCCATTCTTCCTACATAAAAGGTTGTTGGGAGGATCAAATCAAATAAAATCACTCCTGCATTCAACTCTTTTGATTTCAAGAATAAGCAATCACTCAATTTACCTATATGATGAGGATTTTATTATAAGGCTAAAAGTAAAAAGGAAAACGGGCATCTCAGCCTTGTGGCCAGGCCTGGAAGAAAACCAGAATATCTCAGTCACACAAATGAATTGGAAGGTTATGCAGAATACAGGCAGTTTGAGGAAGTGGGCAGTTTTGTTGCACTTTTATAGTCCAGTCTATGAATCCCTGTTTTAGTCTTCCGTCATTTGAGGGCTTAGCTAGTCTCTGTCCACTTCTATTCTCGTTATCAATTGCCCAACTTTCTCTGCATCTCACATTCAATTGAGAGAATCTGATTAGGTCCATTATATGTCATTGTCCCTATTTGGACAGAGCTTTCATACTGGCCAGCCAGCCTTAGATTGGCTGCCTGGGCTCAGGTGCCCTTCCCTATGTAGATCTAAGCAAGCGAGGGTCATATAGTACAAAAGGGCTACTATATAAGCATTCTTCCTTGTATAAGCAGGACAAGTAAACTATTCCAGACTTGATGATAAAATGACATTTTGCACATTCCTTAAAAAAATGCAAGTATTGGGCCGGCCCCATGGCACACTCGGGAGAGTGCAGCGCTGGGAGCGCAGCGGTGCTCCCGCCGCAGGTTCGGATCCTATATAGGGATGGCCGGTGCGCTCACTGGCTGAGCGCGGTGTGGGCGACACCAAGCAAAGGGTTGCGATCCCCTTACCAATCACAAAAAAGACAAAAAAAAAAAAAATGCAAGTATTAGAAATTAAAGATTACATTAAGGATGGTGTGCGAATATCTAAACACTGATTTCTGTAATATGAGAATAATAAAACAGCTCACATAAGAATTAAATGAAAAGGGCCGGCCCGGTGGCGCACTGGATAGTGCACCGCTTGGGAAGCGCGGCGGCGCTCCTGCCCGAGGGTTC